TTATAATAATTTAACACATAGCATATAATATAATAATAATACATACGAATATTCACATATTTGAAATTACATCCCCCCCCCACACACATATGTAATACACACAGTCTTCACTGTGCACAGTGCTGCGTTGGCTGAAATTGTGCATATCAAGGCGATGTCTTCATTTTGCACAGGGACTCAACTACCACAGACCTGTGCAAAGTTAGTGCATTCTTCTGATGTTAATATGGCCTCGTGTGTAGTGAAAATTGGCTGCATATGTATGCATATATATATATATAATGTATATATATATATATACACACACACATATATATAAATAATACAACTGTACATTTAAAGAAAAAATAATAGTCATGTGTCGTGGAGTTTCCAGCATATACAGAGGTAATGACAACAGCAAAGGATGTGGGGAGCTTAAAAGGCATTATACTGCTGTAAAATCCTATATTGTCGATGAAGTAGGTGGTACTTTTGAGGTAGATGGTGTAAATTAAAGACGAATAGTGTAATCTATAGAGCGGCCATTAAAACAAACAGCGCAGGAGGTATGGCAGCGAAAAAGCAAATTGCCGGAGGGAAAACGAAATACCAAAGTATGAGATTTATCCTAAATGGGACACATAAGTAGGTGGCAAAGATGGGTATTTGGTGACGAAGGAGCCTGCGCTAGCAGGAATCACGTAGATCACTTACGGGAGAGTAAAATTGTCTCATCGCTATTTCACATCCACTAGAACGACCAGAATAATCAAAAGACTGATAACACGAAATTTTCTAGGGCTGTCGAGCACCTGAGATTCTCATACATTCTCTAAAATGGTGTAATCGAACTGTGGATCACCGTCGCAATTTCTTTTAAAGAGAAGCACATTTACTCCGTGACCCGATCGTTCAACCTGACATTTACTCAGCAGACGTGAAAATGACACCCACGAAAAGACTTTTAGAAGAATTTTTTAAAGCACTCATTTTCCATACCGGCCTCAAATTGTAAGCATCCCAAATGCCGGCAGGTAAGAGGCAAACTAATCGTGTAGTGTGTGGTCGGATGGAGTTCTAGTGAGCATCATACAATAGCAGACTTCCAAAACTTGCAACAATATGTCTAAATCTCAAAAAAAAAAAAAGTGGTTGAATCCAGACACAAAAAAGAGTACATACTATATTGATTCCATTTATTTGACACCTGGGGAAGGGCGCACAACCTTTATTTGATAAAGAAAATGTTCTTTAGCGAGTTTTGAGAGATGGGATCTCGGTGACAACGCTCCTCAAACCGAATAACGCAGATCTATGCATTTCATGGTGTGGATTATGTTGAAAATTAAGAAGAGAAAAGTTTTGGCAGGACCCGTGTAATGGCACCGGATGCTGGCTCTTGGCAAGCAATCGATCGGGCGAGCATTCCAGAATCTGCCAGCTCTGAGACAAGATAATCACCATCCTCAGCCTCCATTTCTTGACATGTATAATGGGGCCGAACACTTGTGGATTTCGAGAGGCACTTACGGAGGATGTACAGCTTTTAGGATGGTGTGTCATCAAAGAATAACCGTTCGATCACCAGGAGTCGCACTATGTTAATGACCCGCTCGCCATCTTTCCTTCGAACGCCTTGTCCTTCTGCGAGATGCTGTGCATTTCCCCCTTTCTTTCCGCGCTCGGTCTGTTTGTCCGTCTGGAGAAGACGCGTGACTCTTCCCATCTTTGGATACGTCTGTGTTTTCTTGGCGTCGTGACCCCAGGCTCCGGGAAGAAAGGAGAATCCAGTTATTTGCATCGACCGTGACCGAGTTTTGAACAATCCAAGCAATCACACCATAACACCCCGCTGCAGTGAAACACTATGTAGACATCTCTGTGAGTCTGGAAGAGCTGGCGCGGGCACAGTGCATTAGGCACACGCCTCATCTGCATAAAAGACACCTCGTAAATAAATAATTGTGGAATTCGTGAGAATTCTAACTGACTGTTTTACCCACTTACAGCCACGTACACCGAGTCTACCGGCTATAGAGGGGTGAAAGGCAGGCATTTCTGGGGCTCATCTTAAACTTTCATTCAACGGGCTGAGCCGGAGACACACGAGTGAACAAAACGAAGCCCCGGCTGGCCCCAAGGCTCCATTTTTGTGGCAATACCGATCATAAAAAAATACACAGATTCTTCCTACACCTGCTCGGCGATGCCTCCCCTCGTGGCGTTTGTCCACTGCCCATCCTCCTTTCTTCCGTTTTTCTAACGAGCTACCTTTTCGTTATACACTCATGCAAATACACTAAGTCCTTCCTAACCAGAAGACAGGCAGACACCTACGTTCCGCGGATGTTTTCGACATACTTGTCTTTTGTTTTCCAGTCACCTTGGACTTTTAAGCTGTTTCACGGAGGGACGAGGAAAAGACATGTTGACACCACTGGACTCCGAGCGAGGGAGCGTGGTGTGGGGGAGGGGACGTGCTTCAGAGGAGGAGATTATGCTGGGACCAGGGTGTTTGGGGAGGGCCGTTTGAAACCTGCGGTTTAATTCTCCAGTGGACTCGGGACGGAGTTGGTTTTGCTGCATTGAAAGCAGCCAGTGCACGAAGGGGCTGTCGCTTGGGTCCTCGGATGTATTTGAGGCTGGGCACAGAGACCGTGTAAGCGGCTAGGTTCTCAAGAGGCCTAAATGAGCAGATGTGTTTATTCTCGGGAAGAAGCAGCCTGATTCGCAGTGACACTGGCCCCGGCAGAGTCTCTGAGTAATTGTGCCCTGACTGTCCTTGGCCAGTTGGAGAATGTAACCAAGTGCGACTGGACGGCCTCCCATCTGTAATGACATTGACACGGTGTCCCCCGCCCCCCGTAATTCCTGACACTTCCTCCTTGGCTTCTGCATTGCCTGTAGGCGTCAGCCAGGCCTCCCTTCACATATCGGACTTGGGGTGGTGGTGGTGACATTGGGCTCCGACATCCGAGAGAACAGTGGGGCCCAGTTATTGTGTGGGATGCCCCACCGCATGGTGGGCCGCCGCTTAAACTGGCCACAATCCCAAGAAAGAAATGCTTAGTGGAAGAAGGTATTTTCTGAGGAATGTGTGCATTTGAATTGGGGGAGGTGGGGAGGGGGGGTGCTTTAGTGTGAGTAGAAATGTCCCAGGCTGAAAATGAGCCGACCTCCCCCAGCCACCCACAGCCAGTACACGCCGGTGGCAGATGGGTGCTGGGGACAGGTGGGTTGGCCGTGCAGAGCGGGCTGTGGTGACCCCGGCTCTAAGCCCGGTCAGCTTGAGAAGCCCTGGGCGGACTGATGATTAACCCGGACGGAGGCCCCGGGGGCTGCGAAGCAGGCTGTGTCCCTTCTGCAGAAGCAGCTTTCCGGGCCCATGCAGGGGTGGCATGTCACCGGATGCCACGCAAGACCTACTCGGGGTTACAACCGTGATCTCTTACCCCTTCGAGGGTCAGACAAACCACAGATACGTCACTGCCGAGTCCCCCGCTATGTCAGGTGGTGACAACACTGCGGGCGTGTACCCGCTCCTGTAGGATTCCGAAAGCACCGAATTCGAGGCACACGGGCCCCGGGCCCTCGGGAGGAGCGGGGCGGAGCGTTCACCATTCTCGTGTGCCCCCTTGTGGCATCCTGCACGGGTCTGGTCCCTCTGGACTGCTGCAAACGGCCTCCTCTTAAACATCAGTGGCATTTGGTATTTTGTATACTTACTTGGAGAACACCGTTCGACTCGAACCGAGACTGACTCCCTTTCGGCGTGAAGTAACGCGGTGCCACCAAATAATTTTTATGTCTTTCGCTCTATCTTTTTAAAACATTCTCTGTGTCATTTCTACGCTGATCTTGTCCAGTGACATTTCCCCCAAGTTCTGTATTTCACTCTTCATCTGGTTTTCTTTTGCCTGCATAGTAACCACGGTCTGCCTACCATTCGCCCACCTTATTATTTCCTAGTGTACTTTGGGGTTTTCGTGCTTCGCGATCTTTCCTGCTGGGCCACTGGTGAACAGCCCCGAGAGCCAAGTGATCCTAATTCTTTCCTTATGCCCTAAAAGTGCTGTCTTTCATCGATGTCTGGAATATCTTAATGTCAACGATTACTTTCCCCCGCTCTTTGCTGGCTGCCATGCCCGCTCTGTGCCTCCGCCTGGAAATGCCTGTATTGACCCAGGTCGCCAGTGCCCCTGTAAACACCTGGCTTCTGCCACCCCTTCACCCCACATCCCTCTTCCTCGAGAAGTA